AACTGCGGAGAACTATGCAAAAAACGCATCTTCGCACGGGCAGCCCGTGCGTTGGTCAATTATTTTGGGACGATTTTGACGTCTCTTAGCAGACCAAAAAGGAGCATGTTCTCTGCATCCTTGCCGTCCCGAACAAACAAACGACTGGATGAATTGAACATTTCCCAACTGTACATATTAATTTCAAACATACCAAAGGAAAATTTAAAATTACCAAAAGCACTAACTTCAAAGACAGTACGACTCTTTTTGGACCAAGCAGAGCCGGATGGTAAAATACCAATGTTTGGCTTCGTTTCGCTCGATAAGCTTGGGAATCCATTTGATGCCAATGCTGTAGCTACGTTGGACAGAGACTGCGGCTTTTTCAACGGTCGGCACCATGATGATCCAATCGCCGTTATTCCAGGCCTACTAGCTTCAGCCTAAATTACTTTTATAATTTTCAAGAAAAGTTATTTCACAGAGGAAAATAACTCAAAGTGTATTATTTCGCTGATACTGCAAAACTGCAGAATGACGCTATCAACTGTAGCTTATTACGGATAATTTTCCAGAATAATTCTTGTACTGAAGATAATTTCAGTAGTATGGATAATTTCCCCAGAATTTAATTTGAGTCGTCCTTGATGCTGAATTGAGCAGGCATAAGCACAAATGCCCAATAAATTTTTTTCTTGAAAAGAAAAAAAAAACAAGAGCTGAAGTTGTTATCATTAACTTTTAAGCCGCAAACTTTTTAAATGAAGATAAATCTCATCACTGCCTTATACAACGAATACTGAGACTGCTTGAATAACTGGTGCGAAATTTCCACGTCAGGGATGTTAGACGAGATGCTTCAACCCGCTAATACTATTTAATCTCTCTAAAAAACTTCTACTTGGTGGATTATAGTATTATGTTGAATTAAACTTTTGACTGCTGCGGACCTCCACGGCACTTTCGTTTTTCACAGTTTGCTGCTGAGCCAAACTGCTTGCCCTCGAGCTTTGTGATGGAAACCGCTCATCATCGTCAATGAACCACTGCAAAAAACAAAATCATCCGTATTTCGAATCAAAATTTTCCAAAAAACAATTTATTTACAGTGCAAGTGCTAAAAGAAAAATGATGCAAAAAATTACTTCGTCAGAATTAGGTAGTTCCCTGGCGGCTACCCCACTTGATACTTCTTGCGATTTCGGGATATGCCCGTTGTTTCGCTCCGTCGGGGTTGTGCTTTGAGCTCCAGATTTCGACATCGACTTGCCCAACCTCGGGAAATCACTGCCTTGTAATGTGAACTGTGCATTGCTGCGTAGAAGCGAAGGCACAGCTTGTTCAGTTTGTGCCGAAGGCACAATCCTCACATCACTTGCAGTTGCATCTCTAGAAAA